CATGGAGAGTGACTGTAAGATAAAAGCCTCATCTGGAAGTCCCCTTAACCTACACAAAATTTTCCAAGTAAGGTTAAGATTAATAGCATGACCCTATGCATAGCTACTCAGAAGGACTTATTCGAAGGAAGGTGCATATTGGATTAAAGCCTGACCAAGGATGGTAAGTCATGCTAAAATGATATATATATCATTTTAGCATGACTTACCATCCTTGGTCAGGCCTTAATCCAATATATATAAAACCTGTATCATTTTTATAGTACTTTCTATAAAGTTCCATGGATCATATAGGGTGATTGTATTGTTAAGTAACTTCTTTATAAATGTAACTTCATAAAGAAGTAACTTCTCTACACAAAGCATTTGCTTCACGTTCCTTTCTCCTGCTTGGTGCTGAATTAGTGCAAGTTTTATCAGGATTTGCATATCTTCAAAAGCCTACTTTGCAAGAAATCAGCAGCTTTTCAAGAATTCATTTGAGAATCTTGTGGAAATATTTAACAAACAAGTTTCTTTACTATGTGTTCTTTCTTGTTTTTAGTGGTGGCTAGTGTGAGGTGAAAATGTCTGATTGGGACCCTCTCGCCATAGACATCTACAACAATTACTCTTCTCTTTCAGAAATCTACATCTCCTTTAGGAATTTTTCAAAAATCTTGTGGATTTCATAAACCTTGAATTTAATTACTTATTATTTCAGCTTGTATATCACCACATAGTACACACACTCTTTGGGCAGCTCACGACACATCAAAACACATTAATATCACATTATGTTAAATGAAATTACCTTGCAATCAATGTTATAAAATAGAACAAAACCCTGTCCCTAGCTAAAGCTTAGCTTAAATAAATTGAACAAATTACACAAATTTGAGCATTTCAGGTGGTAAAGCACTAATAAAAGGTAGCTTTAAATAATCTGTTGTAACTAATTTCTTAAAAACTGAGGAGGAAGACACCTGATTGACCTTTGTTAGAAGCTTGTCCTAAAGGAAAAAGGGACATGACCAAAAATGAAATTAATTAAAGCATGATAAATTATTTGCATTAAAATCAATCAAACATTTAAAAGTGCTAAAATGGTAAGTTTTAGAACATACTTTAAATAGTAAGATCCAGCACCTAAAACCAACATGCTTCACTGCCCATTTAGTTGTTAAAAGTCTGTCTAAAAAGGATTCTCTTCACCTGGCACTGGAAGAACAAGAGGGAGTGGGGCAACCTGGCCTTATGAGGGAGAGCATTCCACAACTTAGAAGCAGTCACAGAGCAAGCCCTCTCCCATATTCTCAGCAGATGTACTGGAGAGGACAGTGGGAAAGAGAGACAGCCCCCCCTTGAGGAACAGGCTGCCCCTAATTTTGGAGTTTGCTTTCACCAGTGCATGGATGACACCCAGTCCTATCGCTGTTGTCCACCCAACTCTAAGGAAACTGTTTCTGTTCTAAATCAATTTCTCTCATCAGTAGTGGACTGAATGAAGGCAAACAGACTGAAATTTAATCTAGACAAGACAGAAATGTTCCTGGTCAATAAAAGGTAGATCAGAGAATAGGGATTCCACCTATGGTGCATTGGGTTACACTCCCCCTAACAACTCAGTGCTTGGATGCCTAGGTCTTGGTGGTGACCAGAGGTGCATGTGTACCATTAAAGCTGGTGTGACAGCTGCTTCTGTTCCTGGAGATGTCTGATTTGGCTACAACGACACCCATCTTAGTTACATTCACCTTGGATTCTACATGTGGCTGCCTTTGAAGATAGTTCGGCTGGTTCAAAATTCAGCAGCCACACTGCTAATTAGGGCCAGTTACAGAGGGTATATAATTCTCCTGTTACAACAGCTTCATTGACTGCTAGGCCCAATTGAAAATGCTGGTTCTGGCCTATAACACCCTAACTGTTTGGATCCAGGCTATCTGGAGGACTGTAACTCCTCATATGAGACTTCTTGGCTCTTAAGATGGTCTGTATGTTTGGGGCATGTGTAAAACAGAACCCCAAGGGAACCCCTTCTGAGTTCACTCTTCCAGGAAGGACTGGAGTTACTGCAAAACAATGCCTCCAGATCTCATCCTAGACAGACAATACAGAAGGACGTCATGAATGATGGGATCAAAATCAGCTGAAAGGTCGAACAGATTCAACAGGGACTCAGTCTCCCATCCATTTCATGGCATAGGTCATCGATCAAAGCTATCAACACTGTCACTTCCCCATGACCAGGCCTGAAGCCAGATGGATCCAGATAATCCATCTCACACAGGAACGCCTGGAGCTGAGAAGCTACCAACAACCCTGAATGAACATCTCTGTTTATAGGTTATTACTAAGTGGTAATTCAGCACTAATTGCTAATTAAACTCTGACTCTTGTATAAATTAATAATGGTCCATTGGTCCAGATAGGCAGGGTATAAATCAAATAAATA